AATAAAGAAAAACTTTAATATAAGTTTAACATGACAGCAAATGTACAACGTTTCGACAAGGTTTTGTCATCATCAGGTATGTTGTTGAAGCCTAGTCTCTGGAATCTTTCCAAAAATAGCTTTATCAAATGTGAATGTGGTTGATCCAATGGACCAACCCTGTATTGAAGAAGGAATGTTAACTGAATTTAATGTGTGTATGTACAAGTCTGTTGTACACAAGAATGTCTGTAAATTGATGACAGTCTGACTCAGACTACTCTGATAAGTTGGAGTGCAATATGATATTCATGCAAAGAATAAAAATACTTCTGTTCATCGTAAAGTTTACATATTGCATTTGAATAACTTCTAGAATTGCTGAAATGCATATCTACAGTTTTTTTCAGTGTTGCTGTATACTGTTTCTGGTATTTACTCTCCTTCAGCACAAAATTCACTAAATCAGTAACATATTGTAAAATGAACAGTTAATATTTCTGACATCAAATACATCATACCATGTTAAATGACACTCTGTAAAAGGCTGTAGAATAGACACTTTGACTGTCACCCACACACACAAGATTAATGAGATTCTTGGATAAACAATCAAATGAGCAAGATGAGCCAAATGGCCTCCTCTCATTTGTAATCCTTCCTATGTTTTTATTTGGAAGTCCTAATCCAGTCCACAACTGAGGTTATTCTTGGCTTTTTAGACAAATCTGCCACCCCTAAAGAATTATTCAGAAAACACAACATCCAATGCTACCTAAGGAAGAAGAATTTTCCAATGATAATCAGCAAAATCACAAGTGCATCAACAAAGCTGCCACCCCTAAAGAAGGGGTGTATAATTTACTTCCAAAAAACTCATGCAACACTATCATTGACTGGTAAACATGCTTTGAAAATAAAAAGCAATTCAAGACTGTTTTGTGCAATGTTTATCCAGAATTAAAGCTTCAATTCATCCTTAAACCCATCATTAGAATAAGGAACTATTTTGTTTTTCAAGAAAGAACAGGATAATCAAATTGCTCATACGTTACCTACATGTATAAATGCTCCAATTGTTCCCAGAGTATATATATATATATATATATATATATATATATATATATAGTATACTTATT